TACCCCCCCCCCCCCCGAATTCCCGACCTGGAGGAGTCGATCTCGGAGTGTAGTGACCGAGGATCTCTCCCTGCAGGCTGTCGTACTTCGTGTCGTTCCCGTTTCGAGGAAAAAAGTAAGTAAACTTTTGTTTCGTGTGACCCCAAGGATAGCCTTCCGTAGGTAAAAGGTCCCGGGTTACAACGTCGCATTTTAAGTAAAAATTCGACCTCGCCAAAGTGTAAAAGGGTAGCCACCGTGTTAGAGTAGTCAAGCGGTCCTCGATACGAACAGGGTGTTGATATTTATAAGTAGAGTCGTGTAAGAAATTCCCAGTCAAGTGGAGTTACGCTTAGAAGGAGGAATGGAAATTGCCATAAAGCCCTACGTCCTTTCTCTAAGGATAGAAATTTTACAGACGGAGTTGGCTGTTCTTAGGGTACTGTATTTTGTCATGAATAAGGAAAGTTACACAGGGATAGACAAGTCGGACTCATTTAACTGACATGAAAAAGATTTATTGTGATTAAACTTATATATTACCTGTAGCACGAAACTCCGTTGTATTCGCTGGTACAACCTAAAACGGTTTAATGTATACGATTTATGTACAAAAATATAAATAAAATCAGTGTTGTTAAACAACATACAATGCAAATATCCCGACCGAGTGAATACATAAAAATTAGCCCTAATGCCGAACGTTGCTAATGTTTTTGTAAGCGAATTAGCATTAAAGCCTAAAAAAAATTTAATATAATGAAACAAAAACTTATGTAAAAAACCAAAAAAGTCATAATATAATTCAAGTCCCATTACTGACAATTTGAAATGACAAGAAAATACTAACATCAGTACTTATTAGCCGTAATTCATAGCATTTAATGCAACAGGTTATATTAGCTACTAAACGAAATAACTCCCGTCGGGATATGCAAACAAAAAAAAAAAGTCTCGTAAGCCCAGTGTTTAACTGTAGGTTCACCCCATAAAAAAAACAGACAATTCTTAATAGGAATTTCGACCATTAAAACTGTAAAAAAACAATCACACAAATACAATATGTGTTATGTATAAATTCCTACATATCTAAGCAAAATTTACACAAAACCGATACAAGTTTTTCGTTTATGACAACCTTGGGGACTCGATCTACGTTCCACTTTAAAAATCCCTAGTTAGGACTCACTGGACTAAAAATATTCACGGACATTAACACACAACCCCACACACAAAGTTTTACTAAGACAAGTCAACATATCAACACAACTCCAGTAAAGAAAACCAAGTAAGAATAACTTTTAGGATGGGGGGATATCGTTCAGAATTACAAAACATACTCTTAAACCTGTTGTCAGTAAAATACCACTCTCGACCTACATAATAAGGTCAATAAAAACACTTAAACGTATTAACAAACACAAACACCTTCCCACCTATTCCTCCGTACGTGTCCTACTTGTCCGAGACGGTTTTGTGTGTGAATGTGTGTAAGCAGTGTTTTAAATAAACAGGGTAACAACTCACGGGAAACACAAATAAATCGTGAACTACATAACACAAGGCAGTGTCTGTTATGACGTTCGACACACATTCCACCATTAGTAGGCACCCCGCTAACAATCTCCCGCCTTCGGTCTCAAAAGAATGGACACATATGTGTGTGGTGTGCGTATGCGAACTCGTTTATTCTTCCCCCGTATTCGGAAGACATCGGCTATACTCGTAGAAGGAGCACACACAGTGAGGCACAGGGAACAAAATTCATCATCACAACTCGGAAAGAAACTTTTTCGTAATGTGTTTCCCGATATTTGTTGTAAACGATATATTTGACAACTGTAAAATTTATTAAAGTCATGATTCGACTAGTTTTTTTTCTAGTTTTATATACACTGTTGTTCCTGACACTTCGCAGAAAACTGACACATTTGTTCATGTGTTTGTCCAACTAGGCTAAGGTCGGACAAACAATAGAGCAGAGGTTTCGTTCGTCAAGTGTATGTGCGCAAGGAATTCCCAGGCATGCAAGAAAGAATAAAAAACGTTTCCTTTTTTTTTTTGGTTCCACCATGTGTCAGCCGACACTAATCCTGACCATGTTCACAGTTTTTATAGGACTGATAAAGGTAGGCGACCTAGTGGTTTACTGACTACAATACTACCTCACAGCAATATTTTCCAACCCAAAAGGTCGTTCTACCCACTCCCCGTGTCTTATTGACCACCACATTTATCGGGACCCTTGTACCAAAACCTAGACACTACACTCAGAGTACCTGTAGTCTCGATGTGAACCAAGTTATGTTTTCGTTTTAACTTTGCTTTTTCCGCTCGCCTGACTCTCTTCTCTAGTGGAATTTCCTACGAACTTCCAAAGGAAAAAGAAAAAAAAAGAGCTAAAGGAGAAAGAGAGCCTCATTTACGGTTGTCCAGACGAGACCCCAAGGACGCTCAGCTACAGTCTCGATGCTTCGGCTTCAACAAGCACACCCTTAACCCTCTGGGGGCCCGAGAACCTTTTTCCAGGGAAGAGGTGGCGACGAATGTTACCTGCAGTCGGTATTTCCAAGCAGTTCGTAACACAGATTTATATTCGGCAAAAAAAGTATTATTCCAGTGACAAATGGTCAATACATATATTCTTGTAATTAATGACAAAATATAATGGAAAACATCCCTAAATACTACATTTCTTTCCATCCCAGGGTTCATTTTGTTCTTCTGTATACCTACTGACTACATTTCATCAAAGGTCACATGCCGACCTTTTGAATTGCATTCTGGGCTATTAGGGCTACTTATTTGGAGCTATTTGCAAGAAATTTTTTGTGTTTTTTTTTTCCTGTACCATAAAAGTGATTTTTACACAAAGAATTTTCTGTCCAAATTCAGGCTGAACTCTCACAATGTTGTTATACTTTCTGTCTGGCCAAGAAAAATGAAGAAAATTGACACAAAATGTTATTTTAAACAGTGTTGAAGTGACAATAACTCAGCTGTCTGTTAGAATGTAAGATTGACAATACCTACGAGTCATTATGATCTGCTGACACCTGAAAGGGAAAACCATGGTTTCAGTGCTGGAGAGGGTGAGAGGGCGTTAGCTTGCTGGGAAATATGGACAAAGTTAAATATGTTCAATAAAGCTGTGATATCTCCAACAAGCCTGTTTCTCTCTACCAGTCCAGATGATTGACACCAAATGTTTCACTGTTGTCTTGTTACTGCTTCACTGTTAGCTGCAAAAACATTAAAACGTATATCATTGATCACAAAAGCCACATGCATTTTGTTCTTGTCTTCACACATTAAACTACAAATCAATCACATCCCGGTGAGATAAAACATGGCCAAACACATGTCTTAAATATTTAAAGGTCACCTATTATGCAAAATGCAATATTTTATACATAAATGTGTGTCCCAGGTGTGTAAGGAGACTCACAAAGTGTCAGAAAATACAACCCTCTCTTTGACTCCTTACCCACATCTCTAAAAACGGGGGTAACGGAGCTGATCCAGATTTGCTGAGAACTTGACCGAAAATGTGGGCTGGATTTACATTGACCTCCTGGCAATGTTCCGCCCATATCCCAACCTATCGTCCCCATACAGTCGGCTACCTGAATCCCCCCCCGCACTAATAATCAGCACTTTTGTAACAGGGCTGAAATAGAGGGGTATGAGGCATGCTACACTGGGTGATCTGTTTGGTATTTTGTTTCGACTTGTTTCGAATAGATATGGCCCTATATTATATTGATCAAATATAGCATAATAGGTGAGCTTTAGGTTGAAGATTGTATGGTACAACTGCTGAGGATCCAGGTTCGAATCCCGCATGGTTTGCTGCGTTTTATCCCCTCTGTCATTCTCCCTGTCACTTCGATAAAGGCAGACAAATATTTTTAAAGAATATATACACATATATAATTTGTATAGCTTATATCACAGCCAATCAATTTCATTTCCTGATTAATGGATCCATAGAGATCAATCTAGCAGCCTTATTCTTTACCTACCTCAATTATTACTCATTCAAAATGTATTTACTCTACAGCTAAAAGGATGCAGACACATTCTGTGCATTTATGGTCTGAAGACTTTTGAAGGTTTAGGCCTCTTAGTTTAAATTAAAAGAAATGTTGATCCTGGCTTATGCAATATTTTAGACTGTAGAGGTGTACCCAACAAACTCTGGCTTATTCCTGTTTGAACATTCAATTATTGATACCTTATTGATCCTATATTGGGAAATTGTTTGAAGTGTTCAGTGTGTTTGGTCTAACTGTGATGTATATAAAAAACATTGTTTACAGGATTAAAATCTTGTGAAATGAAAACATATTTTCTGTAAAATATTACTACAAAACAAAACAAAACAACATATAAATGTGAAGAAACGTAGCATTTACAGGATCTTTATATAAATAGCAACTTTCAAAAAAAGGTAACAAGATTAAATAGTGACAACAATAACGTCATTTACACACCCCTTAAATTAAGAATTCCAATGTCTGCTTTTCATTTGGATGTTGAAACAATAATTGTGAACATGAAGTACTCTTTAAAAAGACAACGAATTGGAGAATAATGTGGGACCAACAGAATATTTGTTTTCTCTTTGTAAATTAACTTTATCCTATTGAAGTGTTTTGAAACAGAGAATGTAACCACATATTCTCAGAACACGTTCCCATGGGTGCTCTCTGTGTCATCAAGAATGTATTCCCTAATTCCCTGTTTAGAGCAGTTCAACACACTTTCTAGTTTTAGCACTTTGTTTTGGATCTGGGAGAGTTACTCATGTTTCCTTATATATTTGGATTATCTTAGGCCCTGACAATACCATTTAAAGGAAGAAGTGACAATGTATTTTAAAAAAAAGGAGATGTTTTTTCAACCTAATGAGTGGAGACATCTTCTTAAATATTGGGTGAAACTGGCAGTTTAGAGGTGGGTTAGAAAAAACTAAGGGATCCAGAAAGGGTGTCTTTAGAGTAGGACAAATCCCAGTGTATGGTTTGTGAGAGGATTCTGGGTTTATGACTACCTTTGAAAGAAGCAACGGAGACATTGTTCATCTAAAATTCCAAGTCTGCCTTACTAAATCATCTTTTTAAATTCCTCCTTTATTTTCATTCAAGGGAAGAGCATTTTTAGCTTTTTATTTCTTACGGGAGCTACGGAGTCTGGATTATTCACGCGTTCATTGGTATTCTTTGGTACTGAAATGTGTTTGAGCAGTAAAGCTAGAGATGACAAATGAGCAGCAAAGAGGTAATACCTGGGTTGGGAGCAAATCACAGTCATTCGTCAATAAATATAAACATATCTTTCATTTTCCACATTCTCTCTCAGCTATAACTGAAAGTGTTTTCCTGTGGAGATACATGTGACCTGAGGCCAGGTTCATATACAGATAATAGAATAAAATCTGCATTATTCCAGCTTAGATGTGACAGTATAGGTCAGGATGATAGGAGTAGCTTTCATTCCCTTTTCTGTTCCGGCTCGTCCTCCGTGAGGTGTTCAATGTGTGTCCAAATACACCAGATCTACAGAGAGACAGAGGTTTGGCTATGAGACAACTTTACATCAGAATCACAATTGAAATACGTTTTAAGAGAAGATACAACATGTAACGGTTATAAAAAGAAAACAATTAAAAAACAAATGTAATGTAAAAGAGAATAGACAACTATTTACACCAAATATATTATGGGAAAAAACGTGTACTTGAATGTACAATGACAGACTGCAGTATATTGTATTTTAACGTTGCTGTGCAGATTTAAGAGCGGTAGGGATATTGCAAAACAAGAACATGAACAAATGAAACATGAAATTCAAGCAGGAATTATTTGAATACAAGTTCAACTTTAGTTAACCCTCCTGTGTGTTTGTGTCAAATCTGACTGATTTACTACTTTCATCAATCATAAATATTGTGTTTAACATTTGATTTCCGGAAGGCCTTACGGTATGCTCCACAGTAAGCATTTTATATATAACACTGCTAATCATCACTTTGACCACTTTCACATTGAATTTTGAGTGGTTTAGCCAACTTTGTTAGGACACACCCACTAATCATGTTCATTTTGGAATATATTTTCAGTGTCTATTTTTTGTATATTCACTGCAGTTATTCATGTGCCAGTAGTCTCAGACATTGTTTACAGCTTAAATATGGGTTTAATAAAAGTTGGTGATGATTAATGGTGTTTGTGTTAATGTAAGAGCAGTTCAAACAGACTGGTCTCTTTAGACTCCACTTCGAGCGATAAAATTACTAACAAAGCACTTATATACTAATAAAGGGCTGGCTTTTTATATGCCAGTTGAATAGCACTTGAAATGTTTGGCTCTATGAAACCTGATGTACTTATATGATTCTGTTTTCTTAAAGGTTGTATCTTCCTGGTCGAATGCACTTATTGTAAGTCGCTTTGGATAAAAGCGTCAGCTAAATGCAATGTAATGTAATGTAATGTAATGTAATGTAATGTAATGACCAGGAAAACTAAAGCAAGGGGGGAGAAACGAAGGCCCCGGCCACACAAGGACGACAACGGTCGTTTGCGTTACTGTTTAGTGTCATATAGACCGTTCGGCCACACGAGGACGACCGAATATGACAGTAAAAAACTGCGGAAACGATAACGGGTCCCAAGGTGGATAGAACGGCATACGCAACGCTCTGGGGGGTCCAACGGCTCCGTGTGTGCGCCCTATACGATCATCTTATGATAATGATGAGGCAATAGCCCCGCCTCTCCCCACCTCTGCTGCTCACCCGCGCGTCAAAGTAAACTGCACACTGAATTCAGATTATTTATCTTTCTCTCGATATGGACATAAACACGAGTGAAGTCTAATCTGACAGGACGGAGACACGCAGCGCAGCTCACTTGCAGCTCCTCCCGCTGTGATGCAGCGGTGAACGGAGCAAAACACACACTTCAAGTCAGATCATCTCCCTTAGCTATTTTAATTACCTCTCAAACTACCTAAACTAGTTATAAATATGTTTATTTTTACTGTCGGCCGGGTCACTCATTACTGGATCAACTGCTGCATGAGACAGACACTGACGCTGTCCAAAGAGAGGGAGGAAAAAGAGAGGCTCCATGTATTTTATTATTATATTATATAGATTCGTTATTCATTTGTTTTAAAGCTCAATAAATAGCAAAGAAGACCTTTGACCGGCACTTTTATCATTTTGTCCGGAACATTTAAACTTTAACACACGTTGACTGGCGAAAAACTGCCCGGTTCCCTCGGCCCCCACCGCGGAGAACAAACAGAAGGGCAACCATGACAACCATGCTTCTTCGCTGCTTTTGTGGAGGAAGTTACAGCGCCACGTACAGCGCTCTGCCAGCGGTTGGAGCTAAACGGAGCTGTCTCGTGTGGACAGACACTATCCGGTGAATATTGCGTGTGGACGGAAGCTTTTTTGAGATTGCGTTTGCGTTAATCCTATGCGTTTAGCCGTATGCGTCCTCGTGTGGCCGGGGCCGAAGACGACAGGAGGGATAACATGTTTATGATAATTGGAGGTTAATTGTACCTCCGCTGATAGAGCCAGCAGACGTCCTGCAGCCAGCAGCAGGGCCCCCAGAGCCTGGATCCAGGGAGGGAGGAGCAGCCAGTGGGAGAGTAAACCCGTCTGATACCCATACAGCCACAGGGGGAGGCAGTGCAGCCCACTCACCACCCATGTGCCAAGAGGGGTCCGAAACCCTGACAGATACACAGAATAATTCACATTGACTTACTGTATCTTCAGCTGCGGTACATCAACTCATTTACAGTGACCGTCTTTTACCGTTTGCCATGATGGCTTGTATGAGTCGAGGACTGCTGATGAAACTGTTCTTCCACTGGTCCCCTCTGGCACTATGGTTACAGACAAACACACACCACTCCACAGCAGACACTAGCCAGGCCCACTGCAATACAGTACAAAATAACAGCAGACAATAAAACACCTCTTAAAATATGGTACAGTGAGTGATTGTGAGTGTTTCATCTAATCTTATCTCGATATTTATGGGATACTTCACAATCAAACTTTGAACCTTTTGCAATTACTAAAAAACAAATCTTCCTTTTCTTTTCCACCTGAACACAATACCATTATTTTTCACAACATCCAAGAAAACCCTGTCTGTCTGATGCACTTTTCACATTTATATATTATGAATGATTTATAACCTCCATATTTAAAAAAAGAAATCCTATATTATAATCATATAGTAACATTGCAGCGTAATGTGAGCGGCTCACAGTGTGAATGTGTGTGTTTTGTATGTGTTTAATGTTCAGCAGCTAACAGACCTTAAACAGCAGGCTCCACAGCAGGCCTCGGCCCAGGTTATCCACCACTACGTCCAGCCAGGCTCCAAACCCGGAGCACTGCCCCAGCCTCCGGGCCAGCCAGCCGTCCACTCCTGCACAGAGGACACACATAACGCTCAAGCCCTCAGTAGCTCTGATGCTTCCTGACTGTGTTCAGGAACGAGAATTCCCAACCAAAAAACGGTTGCTTGTATGACGAATGGGCGTCCCATTATTAATATTTCCATCGCTAAGTAGGAATTAATATTAGTAGTAGCTGTATTGTTCTTTACTTGGTCTTTTATTTTGAAGAAAAAAAGGCATGGCCTAAATCTGAACTCCCTGTAACAATACAGTTTTTTTTTTGTGATAAAGGCCTATACCTTCTTTTTTGTTTGTTAATGAAGGCAAAGCAAAGGTGTAATCTAACCCTGTGTGTCTTACCCACACATACGCTCAAAAGAATTCAGCCATTCTCCATGGAGATAGATCTGGCCATGTGAGTATATGTTATTAGATACACCTGTGGTTATGTTTCTGTGAAAAAGGTTAATTTTCTCTGTAGACTTTCTGAAAACATTGGTCATGTGCTGGAATGTGTAGAGTCAATAATAGAGCAGTATGAAGTGGTCTAAAATATTATCCAGAGGCATAATTTAAAGCTTTTATATTACTATATTTAATATATACTTTACCATCGAGTGCTATGAAGATTGAATAAAGTAAAACAAAGGTTGCAGGTGTCTCATGGGCAGCCCAGGCAGCAAACACAAGGCCAATCCTGAAGTATCCTGAAAGAGATCAAATACAAAAAACAAAACTCATTACAACAGCCAGATGATTGGATTAATTGAATTCAGAGAAATACACATGGCACTTGTACTAACATTAGCCAAGATCAGTATATCTTGCACAATACTGTCAATGCTACCTCTTTTAAAACTGCACAGCTCTCCACTTTCAACACAGTACATATGCTATTTTTCAATTATATATTTTTCGAATATAGTTCAATTGGTTGTATTTTTTAAATTAACTTAATTTTCATTACTGTGTTTATGTTTGCAATATTTTACACTAAAGCTAATTCCTTGTATGTGTACACCTACTTGGCCATGAACCTGTTTCTAAAGTCCACTGATGTACTATGACATCTTTCAGCGTCATAGTACCGCCTAAAATCACAGTTTAGTGACCATTTTATTTACTAGATACTGTATGTATTTATTAGGTTATTCTAGGTTCTGGCCTACAGTCTATGGTTCTGGCTGATGTGTTTTCAGCCTGTGAACTAGTTACCTGGGTTAGCAGTTGTTATCACGCGCCTCAGTGAAGCGACGCCCACGAATTTAAATCAAATACAAAACTAAATTCATTCAAATTCAACCGAATGTGTCTCACCAATAATATTTGGCCAGTACAGCAGAACTTGAAGTCCCATCTCCTTTCAGTTATGAGAGGTAGAGCGGTGCTTCATCCCGGAAACAGGTGACGCAACCTGCCTTGTAAACTGACATGCGCCACTATGGACAAACACACACGCGCATCAGTATAACAGCCATTGACATATTTATGTTTTTATCACCGTATGTTTTAAGAGCTTGGCAGGTCCGCTATTGTACCTTTAAATTGGATGTGCTGTGTCTACGCCTTCATGTTGCTCACTCCTTCTAGGACTGGGTACAGCAGTCAAGCTAGCCTTCACTTCAAAACAGACAGTCAAACTTGCCCCCACGTTGTTTTGAAGCTCGTGTTTTTAGGAGCCATTACGGTAAAAGTATGGACGAAGTGACTTCAAAATAAAAGCTGGGTTCCGGTAATAGAGTGGCGAAGTCCCTCCCCTTCCGGGGGAGCTCCACTTTACTCAAGTATAATTTTGAGTTACTTGTACTTTTTTGAGTATTTCCATTTGTTGCTACTTTGTACTTCTACTCCACTACAATTCAGAGGTTATTCGTGTACTTTTACTCCATTACATGTACATAATACCTTAAGTTACTTTGCAGATTTGGATTAATTATAAGTACTTCTTCCACCTCTGCCTTTATTAAATTGTGCAGGGTAGTCGTCAATAGAAAAAGCAAGATTAATAACAATAATACCTATAGAATAAGTACAAATGTAATGCAATGATTTAATATTTAAAATCAAACATCTATGTGTCCTGACATTGACTTTGGGACACTGGTGTGGTCTGCCATCAACCCAAAGGGAAATCTGACCCTGCATGGCAACATGTTGTTAATTTATTAATTGTAATCTGAAAATGTTTCTTTAAAAATGCATTTTGAAGGGCTTCAATTTCGAAATCCCACAAAAGAATGCTGTGACATTTACTCAGTGAAGTCAGATTTGTCTTTGGAAAATGTATTCCTTATTACTAAATTTGACTTATTATCCACCCAATTTAGAATTCATTTTTTCTCAGAAATACAGTATTTTGACGGGAGTATAATCGATTAACATTTTTAATTATTGATATTTGGGCCTTCAGTTTTATATATGCAAACTGACATTTTTAATGCATGTGAAATTGCATGACACAGGAACTAGCTTTTATTTTGAAGTCATACATGTACTGTACTTACCGTAAAGCCTACTAAAAACACGAACCGCAAAACAGAGCTGAGACCGTTTCTCAATCGCGAGGAAACTGGCTTCCAAGCCAATATTTCAAGGATGCTATGTCGTCGAGTGCCGCCGAAGGACTGTTCCAATCTCCAGCATACTTGGAATTCCACCGAGGCCGCCTCCTCGGTTTGGGGGTAATTTCGAGGCTGCACCACACTTGCCAACCTTGAGATCTCAGAAATCGGGAGGATTTC